GACCCAAAACAAAGCGCTATATAAGTGTAAGCAAGTTATTATTATTATTATTATTATTATTATTATTATTAGTCATCAGCTGCTGGGAGTCACTCACAATAGGGTGTAAAAGAGTATAATGAAATGTGTGAGTGTACACTAAAATTAAGACCCACAGGGTTTAAGCGTGAAAACATTTTTTTCCATCAAGGGCTCTGCTGACTTCCATGGCAGTCAGAGACCCGTGTTGCTGAGAGCCGTAGGAGGGGACTGGGGCGAGCCGTGGGGGGTGAGGACCGCGGGCGTGGCGCTGACCTCTCCATTGCGCTGGCAGGCCCCAGGCGTTCCGGAGCTACCTGGAGGACATCATCAATTACCGCTGGGAGCTGGAGGAGGGCAAGCCCAACCCCCTGAAGGAGGGGCCCTTCGAGGAGCTGCCCACCCGCACGCAGGTGGAGCTGCTGCACCGGCTCTGCGACTACAGGCTGGACGCTGCCGACGTCTTCGACCTTCTCAAGGTAGGGCGGTCCTGCGGGTCTCCGGCCTGAAGCTGTGGGCGGTGTCCGGCATCACCTGTCGGTGCCCTCGGCAGTGTCGCTCCTGGGCTTTTCAGCAGTGAGCAGGGTCAAGACAAGCCTGCTTGCCTGACCTGTATGTTTATTTAGCTCCAAGGCCCCAAAGAGTTTAAAATGTCTTTAAAGAGAGACTTAGGGAGATGGAAGCATGATTCCATTTTAAGACAGAAAGTGTAGGCCAGGTTTTAAAGCCTGCTTTTCTATTTGGCAGCAATGGGATAATAGCACAGCTGTAGCAAAACTTTTCTCCATATAGACGTGTTAAACAACTTTTAATTTTCTCTCCGTTTCACTGTGGTTCTAGCAAGTTTCTCATTCTTCCGTTAAGGAGTGGCCATTACACAAAGATATGTTTTGGTCATAATGGCACTGGAATTTGCCAACTCTACTAAAAAAATCCACCAACTTTAATTTTTTTGTCTTCATTTTCCTAACCTTGGTTTGTGTATTTTGAATGTTGTGGTTGACGTGTCCTCTAGAAGAAACAGGTAAATGGACTTCCTTGAAATGTAGAAAAATATAGCAAAATATTTAAGAAAAGGCTATAATATGGCTCTAAAATAAAATCTCTCATTTACAAATCACTTTTAAATATAATGAAGCTACCAATTTTAAATCTCTGCAATAAAAATAGTCTCTAGGGGTGATTATTGAAGTAAGCCACAGTGGTGGCACAACTTGACCTCGGTTGGGCTACGCTCAGTCAGAACTCAAGGTTGATTGGTCGCGATTGTTCCCTCTCTCTCGCAAACTGCTGCCCCTCACTCAGAAACGACAACTTTGTGATGCGTAGATGAGGCGTCTCGGGTGCCTCGTGTGTTCAAGGCCTCAAGACCACTTGGAGGGGGGGTCGGGGTTGGGGGGGTGCCCTAGTAATTTTCCTTGTACTCGTTCTTGTCTGTCTCTGTTTTATTTCTTCCATAACCCATTGTGAATAGCCTCAGTGACATTTGTGGCTGTGTCTCTAGCTTGTCTGGCACATTCTGGGGCCCACTGGGAAAGTGCTGAGCTGTGTGCTGTGCTTTTCTTGTCAGGGGCAATTCTAGTTTGAATTAAAAGGTCTGAGTTTTGAGATAATGCCACAAAAATAAAACTCAAAATGGAGGTATATATGAAGATATTAAGTATGTATTTCTCCGTTACTTTTCAGATTTTGCTGCTTAATCTAACAGCAGTGCTTTATTAATGGTGGTGCTTATGGTGCTTGTGTTAACTATCTGGCATTATTGTGAGCTATTCATGTGACTTTACTGAAGAAGCCTCTTGAAGATTGTTACTCAGAGAAAAGTTATGAGTATTATAATTGATAAGTATGCTTTGTTAGTTGTAAATCCCTTTTCGATCACACCTGAACTTGTCTTTTAGTGTAAATTTTTTGCTCAGTAGACTACTCTGACTCGGCAGTGCTAAGTCTGCTTTGTCAGCGTGAGAAAGCTGATGCTTTCATGAATTCATTGCACCACACAATTTTGGTTTCTTTTACAATAAAGATGAGCATAAAGATTAATTTACACACCAATATGAATATTTTAGAAATCAGATTATATATGTTCAACTGATTGGGGTAGCATTAATGAAAACAAAAATTATCCATACTTTAACTTTCTGAAGTTGATAGTTTTTATGTAAACAACAGGGATGGGAACGACATGGTGTTTTAGTGGTTAGAATGTCTGCCTCTTAGTGCTGAGCGCCTGGGTTCAAGTCCAGATATTAGGCGCTGTCAATGTGGAGTTTGTATTTTCTCCTCATGTGTTTGTGCGGGTTTCCAGTGGGTGCTCCGGTTTCCTCCCACAGTCCGCAAACATAGCGTTAGGTTGTTTGGCTTCTGTGTGAATCTGTGTGTGTTTGTGCTTGTGTCTGCCTGCCCTGAGAGAGACTGGCGATCCGTCCAGGGTGTTCCCTGCCTTGTGTCCTGTTGCTTGCTGCGATAGGCTCTGGCTCCCCTGCAGCTCTTAATTGGAAGAAGTGGGTAGAAAATGGAAGGATAGGTAATATGGATAAGTAAGGTTGAATCAAATTAAAATAAATTAATTAAAATTAGTAAAAATGTACTATTTAAGGTTGCTTTAAGTCAGTTCTTTGGCAGCTTTTGTTTTCTTCGAAAGTATCACAGATAGTTTATGGGTTTGTCTTTGCACAGTTTATTGTACAAGAGAATATTTAATACATATTTAGTACCCCATAAGTATATATGGACTACACAAGTACTTAAAGTGGTTGCTGTATAGGTTTGATAAAACATATGAAGTGATTACACAGTTTTCTGAGCTCCGTGGGTCATTTTGAGCCTGTTCAACCAGCTTCAATCTTTTACCCTCTGAAATTGACTCAAAGTGAATGTTTTCCCATTACTGTTTGACTGAATTGTTTGTTGGCAATTCTTTGTTTTTTTGTTGTATTGGACTGAAGCAAATTTCTCCCAGGGGATAATAAAACTACACATTGCTTGATTATAAAGCAAAAATAAGTTTTGACTTTGCTGTCTCAATATCTTGTATAAAGCAATGCTGTACAGTACAGTATAAATTGACCGTTCCTTGACACTAATATTAAAATGGACATGCCAGGCAGTTAAAGCCTGATAATTGCATTATCGTTGTATCATTTTAGTTATCCCACAGAGGCATTTCTTGTAAAAAGTAGCTAAATTGAAGAGATTTACAAAGAAGAAGTCACTCAAGGAATCTAAAGTGACTATTCCTGCCTTCTGATTAGTATGTCTTTTAGCTATGAGAACAGGTGCAGACCAGAGGAAACCTCAGGACATTTCTCATCAAAGAGTGAGTCCACATTATTTAGCAAGTAGGATGTTTGAGTGAAGACAACAGGAACACAGGTCCTTCAGATTTCACTTTGGAGTGGCGTCACAGTGATTGTGTCCAGAGACGCAGTGAGAAACCTAGGTATGCAGGTCATGGTGCACAGTGCCATTTTCTGTTTTTCTTTCTACCTGAGCCTTTGATTGTCTAAATGTACTTATTATTTACTTCATTGCCAAAGTTGTAGCCTTTTGGTTGTAACCATGGTGCGGTGACTCTTTGGCTAAGGATCTGCGCATGTGGCTGGAAGGTTGCCAGTTCCTATCCCGTGGCTGGCAGAGGAGTCCTACTCTGTTGGGCCCCTGAGCAAGGGCCTTAACCCCAACTGCTCCAGGGGAACCGTATAAATGGCTGACCCTGCGCTCTGACCCCAAGCTTCTCTCCCTGTCTGCATGTCTCATGGAGAGCAAGTTGGGGTGTGCGAAAATTGTATAATGCCAATAAAGTATTCTTATCTTATCTTTCCATGTCCTTAGGAAAATGTAGATTTGAAAGACCTATAAAACCTCTTGGACAGTGGACTGGAGGTGGGTACCTCTGGTCTAGACATTCTGAACACAGCACAGAGTGCAGTGGAAATGCCGAAAGACTCCAGCTTCATGCCCTGTTCTGGAAGAGACCAGTGCTGGTCCTGCAGTGTTTCCATTTTAACTCATCTGTTAATGAGCGAAACCATCTGGTTATTCACTTAACTGCACCAATTAACTACTTCTACTAGATCTTCAGGTGTAGTTGTTTTAAAGAGACCTTGAAAAAAACTGCTCCCCTCCAGGTCCAGGATAGGATATCCACCATCATAGAGTCTTTGTTGCATTATTTTGTCTGAAATTCAGCTTGTGCAAGCTCTTTAGTTTGAGCTACAGAGAACACAATGACTTATTTCTGTGGTTGTGTAGAGCCTATCACTTTCATACATTTAATTGCCAAACTCGATTTACAGGTGTGAAATATATGGCATAAGTGTGCATTTTATCACATGTGGGTGATTAAGTACGTCAGTGACTTTTCTGAAGCTGTTCAGGATACTGCTAACAGGCAGTTTTCAGCTGCAAGTCAAGTTGTTGTATTTTTAATAGGGATTATTAATAGTTTTCTGGCTGTGACGCTGGTGTGCTTCAGCTCCTGTTGCTCTTATTTGGTTACCCATTAATTATCGGCTAAATGGTATTTCCTCAAGGGATTGACTCAAATATCCTAGGGCAGGAAGAGCCTCCTGTATTTACGAGGTGTAATAAATATGTCACTTAACCTTTACCATTGGGCAACATGCTTGTCTGCCCGTATCCCATTCCTCCCAGGGCCAAGGAGTGGCCACCATCCTTCATGTGGTTGGACATCATAAAACACTGCCCTTTTACTCAGCCGAATAGCTTAAGAATGGTTACAAACAAGAGGAGGCCATTTAACCCATATAGCTCATTTGATGCTAGCTAATTAAACCAAGGATCTCATCCAACTGTTGCTGTAGTGTAATGACACTTGTGGATGAAAGTGTCCCAACAAACAATAAGAAAAGAAAGCTTCAGTCACAACTGAGGCATTCATTAAATAATGAAAAACAAAGGGAATGATGTGGATTTGATGCTGTTTACTAAATTCAGAGTATCCAGCAAAAAAGGGCAAGTATAAGCAATCTACAGTTGCCGAATGTGAGGGCATAGCTGGGATCTAGCATTATCTGATTTGTTAGTATCGGTGAGATTTTTTTCTTCTGCTGAATTTGGAAATCATTTCTCTTTGTTTAGGAGGCCTAAACCTCCATTCTTAAATGAGTTGACATAGCCTGCAACAGTTGTGGTTGGGTGTGTTTGGTGCATTTTTTCTCTTGGACCAGATCGGGCCAGTCTTTGACCTGAAAGGGAGAGAGAGTTTTAGAGCATGCTTGTGTTCAGCCTTCTGGTCTGAATGCCTTTATCAGCATCCTGAGCACGAAGGGATGTCACCTTTTTGCCTCAAATCAATCCCATGAAGTTGCATTTTGGGTTTTTTGTAGATGAAGGAATGATGTTAGAAAAGTCTTCACAGGCTACAAAAGGCAGCTTCAGGTTTTGGTAACCCAGTACTAAGGCAGAGTGGGAACATCGGAAGTAAGATCAGGATTAAAATATGACTTCATTTCTGTTCCTGCTACATTGGAATCCCCAAAGCATTCAGTTTCCTGTACCTACCTGAACAACTGTTTTTACTTTTGAGATAGAATGCATACATCTGTTCTCCAAAATGTAAAGACTGTTCACTTTTAAGAATAAAGTATTTTTCCAGCACGCTGAATATATGCTAAAAAACATTTGTTTGCAACTGTCATATTCAGAAGGATTTTTATTAAATTTACCACCAGGTGTGTATTGTTGCCGAAACTCTACATTTTTGGTTGCTTAATTTCCCTCATTGCTCTAAAGCCTTAGTTTATTTTCGTTTTACACTGTACAATGGAGTGTGACAGAGACACAAGAGAAACAAGACGCGCAAAGTGTGCCAGCAATGAGCTCAAAAGCATTGTAGTCAAACTGTTTTGTCCACTTCACCTGCAGAGTTCCTCAGTCATTCTGTTGTTGGAATGTGAACCTTAAGCACAAATCACACGAAGTTCAACAGCGTCCATAAGATAGATAGATAGATACTTTATTGATCCCGTGAGGGAAATTGCAGTGCAACAGCAGCTTAACACAGACAACACAGCCACAGTCTAACAAATTATATAATAATAGTACAATACATACAATACAATACAAGAGTTACTCACAGTCCGGACACACAAAGAACAGACTAGAACAGAACAGTACACAGAAAAATTGTATCACATAAATGAATATAAATATAGATGTAAATATAGATATAGATATAAATATAGATGTAAATGTATTGCACAGGTCCCTGGCATATATTGCACAAAAAACTGTTGTAAACGGGAAAAGAAAAGAAAGAGAACAGATGCAGTAGTAGATGTGTAGATGCGTTCAGTCCAGAAACAGGTCACAGTCAATGTTGCCTCTGCCCAGACGCAAGGTGGATGCATTGTACAGTCTTATGGCAGAAGGCAAGAATGTAGCGCTCTCTGTCGCACCGTGGATGAATCAGTCTATTGCTGAACGTGCTCTTCATTTCTGCAAGCCTGTCATAGAAGGGATGAGAGACGTTGTCCATGATGGCCTCTAGTTTGGACACCATTCTCCTCTCAGCCACTACCTCCAAGGGGTCCAGGTCAGACCCAATGACAGAGCTTGCTCTCCTGATGAGCTTGTT